GTTGTAGCCCTAGTTTGTGGGTGCTTATTGCACTACTTAAAAAGAATCAAAAGTGGGTCAGGTGTGGATGAACAATGAGAGTATGCTGTGAAGGAAAGGATTGTGGTTAGTTCTGTGCACTTGAGGTGTAAAGGGAAATGCCAAGTGGGGACGTAAGAGCTCTTCTGAGTTTGCAATCTTGACTCCAGCAATTTACGAGTTGTTTGTTCTTTGGCAAATAACAACCTTATGCTTCTCTTGCCTTATCTGTAAAATAAAATATTACCTACGTCATAGGGTTATTTGAATATTAAATGGGTTAATACATGTGCCTGGTACAGAGTGATCTCTAAGTTTTTGCCATTTGTTTGGATTATCTAATGCTATGTAATAAACCATCCAACAACTTAGTGAGTTAAAGCAGCAGCTGTTTAATATTTATTTCTTAAAATTCTGTGGGCTGCATGGTTTTTCTGCTGTTTCATTTGTGGTCTGTCATTGAGCCGTAGACAGGTGTCCATCTGAGGCTGACGTGTCCAAAGATGTGTGTTGCTTTTTGAGGGTAGGTATACCTGGAAGGCTGGGGCTCTCAGATGGACAAATGACCTCTCCATGTATCCTTTTTTCTTTCCTTTTTTAAATTAAACTTATTGGAGTGATATCCACATGTCCTTTTTGTGGGGTCTCCAGTAGAGTGGCCAGATTTCAGGGGCTTCAATAAGCATGGAAATGAAGCTGCCAGGCCTGGAACAGGGACATACCGTTCTGCTGTGATTAGAAAAAAAAATTCTGAGGTGTTCTAAATCAGAGCTGCCTAGCCTTTTGGCGTCTCTGGGCCACACATTACATAAACAAACACTAATGAAAACTGATGAGCAAAAAACAAGGTTTTATGTAAATTTACAAATTTGTGTTGGGCCATATTCATAGCCATCCTGGGTCGCATGTGGCCTGCAGGTTGGACACATTAAATTACAGCTGCAGGAGAAGGGGAGAGAACAGTTAGCCTGTTAATAGCTGTGGACTAGCTCTGAGGAAAGGCTGCTCACATTCCTGTGTATCTGTTGGAATTTAGGATTACTTTCTAGGTGGCTATTTCTGTGATTACCCAAAAGGGAATAGCCAGGCACCCCTCCTCATTTTATTTACATGTGAATTTTCCATCCATTGCCCACAGCTAAACTATAGATGACACTTCTTGCTGACTCTGAGCCTATCCCAGAACTGGCTCTGCTTCATCTTCTCCCACCTCCTTTGTCTATAGCTAATGTAAATTTTTTAGAATGGCTTACATCTTTTTCCCCGTCACTTGGTCCACTTGATGTATAAAAACACTCAACAACACCAGGACAGTAGAAATGTTGTCTTTTCACCTAGCCATACTGCTGATGGTTCAGGCTTTGTGCCTCAGGACCTGGTCTTTCTTGCCGTCCATGGCCTAATCCTTTCTTCTACAAAATACTTTCTCCCTTGAAAGTTAAAAAACAATTTTTTTAACAGTTGCATTCTATAGATTAACTTATGTCACAGAGCCAGTTGGGAGAGGTGGTTTATTGGAGACCATTTTTGGAAATCATCCATACTATTATTAATATTTGTATCCACAATGTTGCTGTACCATGTATATTGTTATTTTAGACACTGGGGGTATACTAATGAATAAATAAATACAAATCCCTCCCCACTTGTAGCTTGTATCTTAAGTGATTAAATAATTAAAATGTCTAGTGTGTTGGTTGGTAACAAGGACCGTGAAGAAAAATAACCCAGGAAGACAGAACACTGGGTACGGGAGTTGCAGTTTGAAAAATGGGTGGTCATGGAAGCCTTCATTGGTAAATTGACAGTTGAGCAAAAAACAAAAGGAGGAGGTTAGGTGCTAGAGAGATAAGAGTGGAAGTAACATAGGAGAGAGGCATGGGAACTACATAAAGTCAGGAGCCTGCCACGTGCTACCTGACATAGGCAGGCAGGGAGACTACAGAGAGCCCCCAGAACAAAGAAAATTCCTGCAAAGATTGATTAATACCTTCCTGGTTACCCATACCATAAAAGGAAAACAGACTGCAAAATATACCTCGTAAAGGTTAATGTTAATCCTGTTTTTTTCCACCCTCTATTTCTACCGGTTGGTAATTTTCCATAGAATCTACAAACAGTTCAACTTCTAGAGATGGCTGTGAATCTTTTTTCCTTCTCTTTTTTGGAGAATCCACTCTGTGAAGTGGGTTTTCTTGCTTATCCTCTGTACTCAGTAAACTTGCTTCTGCTTTAACCTCTGGTCTGGCTCAAGTCTTGGATTCTTTCTAGCTCCTTTGTGAAGCTGAGAACCCTCTTGGCTCCATGGAGTTTTCCCTAGGTACTTGTGATGCAGACTCTGGCCAGCGGGGTCTGTGTGTTGTGGCTGTGGTGAACAAATCCACATGGACTGCAGAAGTCCTGTGGAGAAACAGGGACAGCATGGCCACTCTGAGTGAGAGAGGGCCCTGAGCCCTCCCTGGACAGGCTTTAAATTGCTCTTTTGGGTATATCACATTTACTATGCACAGGTTTGCTTTAGGTGGTTACCTTTTACAGGTAACAGGAAAGAATGTTGCTAATGACTTCAAAGAAAAGGATGTTTCAGATGCAAGGGGGAAGGTGGTTGAACTGGTTCCCCTCCATACTTTGGAGGTTTAGCACAAAGACTTCAGGAAGTTACTTTAAAGATATGCAGTAAACATTTGCTGCCTCAATTCAGGGTGAGGGAGTTTTAGCAAAAAAGCAAGCCTCAAAGTATCCTAGGTGCAATGCAGGCCTGATTCCCCATGGGAGAACCTATCCGTGGGCTCAGTTCCTGTGTGCCACTCGCTCTGCACTGGTTTTCCATATCAGGGACTGGGCTACATGCGCCATATCATTTGGATAGGTTCCCTATAGACTTGCCCCTCCCGTGTCAGAAGCAAGAGAACTTTTAAAAGGCCAGTGCAGTTAAGAGATGGATTAGTGTAGTGATAATACAAGTAGGGAGAAGTGCTTAGATTTGAATACATTGTGCAGGCACAGCTTCAGAATTTATTTATGGACTGGGTATGGAGTGTGAGAGAAAAAGGAAATTAAGGATGGTTTAAGCCATTGACCTGAGCAACTGAAGGATGGGGTTGCCATTTACTGGAATGGGGAAGACTACAGGACTAGCAGGTTTGGGGGGAGGATGGGTTTTGAAGAGGACCAGAGTTTTGCCCACCTAAAGCTGCTTTTTGGTATATTAATTTTAAATTGGTTATTAAAAAACAAGACTCAGAAAGAAACTTTGACCCTCCCTCCTTTACTGCCTGAGAATTCCAGATGGAAAAAACTTGTTCCAGGAAGGAAATCTTAACATACGTACTTTAGCCTAATTTCAGTTGAGTGTGGTAGATTGGAGGGTGTCAAACCCAGCCCTGTTAACTAGGCACCCCTTGCAGCATCTCATTGTTTTGTGGCTGCTTAGCAAAAACTTACCTGCTTTTATGTTCCACTCTTCCACAGTTATCTGTAAATGGCCAACCCTCACTTTTGAAATCTAAGATCCCATTCCCCATTGTTTCTCTTTTGTTTAAAATGTCATATACCCAGTTTTGCCTGTCTTTGGAGTTTTCATCCTTGTGAAATGTATTAAAAATTTGATTTTCTCCTGTTAACTGTCTGTTAATTATTAGCCCAGCTAGAGGAACCTAGAAGGTAGGTAGTTTTTTTTTTTTTTTTTGGCCCCCAGTTTGTTTGTAAAGTTTGAAATGTCAGTTAAAAGCTAGCTGTTTTAAAATGTGAGTTATGCTAGAATCCTATTAGACTTCCCTTTTTGTAGCAAGGGAAGCTGATAGGAAGGAGGAATTGACACTTTTGTAAGAAGAGTGAGGGATCTTGCTGGCTTTAGCCAGACTATCGGTTTCTCTATGCTCTTTTCACCCTTTTCCTGATGCAGCATGTTCATAAATTTCACTGATTGTCACCTTTCTACTAGAAAAGGCCTGAAGTAAAGTCAAGCAAGTTTATTTAAAAATTTTATTTTTGTTTTCTACAGTTTTTCTTTAAGGAGAAAAGGTAGAAGTTGAGAATTTTTAATTAAACCTTATTCTATATTTCAGTTCATGCTAGATCTTTATTTGATCATATGTGTTCACCTTGGTTTAACCCAATTTATAGATATTTAGTTGCTTTTGACAAGAGAAAAATTCTGGCCTAAATTAAATTACAGCTGCTGGAGAGTGAGAAACACAGGAATAATTAATCATTTAATAACCATGGGCCAATTAACAGAAGATTGCTTACATCCCTTTAGTGTATGTTGGAGATTTGGACCAACCTTTGGGGCCTCGGAATCCTGCATATGCACGAACTCTCTGGGGACTGTTGCCATAACCAGTCAAAAGTAGTAAACATTTTCTTACAAACTGTGCCTTTATGAAAGAACTGCCCTTACTTCACCATTTTTCCTCCCCTTTTTATGTGTAGAGAAAGAGCAACAAGTGATAAACAAGTTTTTACTGGGCCACCGCAAACAATGGGACTGAGGAAAACGGGCTTTGCTAGATTTCTCCCTGATACATTTAGTTTATATTACGATACTAATGTTCCCTTCCTTTGAGCAGATTTTTCTATCTGAATTCTTTTAGGCAGGAGAGGGGGATGTCAAAGGTTCTTCCTGGGTCTTTTGTTTCTTAATAAACCAGCTTAAACTCAATATCCCAAAAGGCTTATTTTGGGGTGGCAAAACTTTGGCCCCTTCATTCCCATCTTTGAAACTTTAAAAAGTTTCATATTCCTGAAGCTAAGTTGGTAGATTGCATAAATGGTTCTTACTCTTGATTATGCTCCTGTTTTCTGGCAGGATTGGGACTAGGAAGTGGTGGGGTATCAGGAATGTCAGCATAGGTATATTGCACCTGTGTAGGGCGTTCTGACGTATGCGTCTTTTTTACTTCTGCTGACTGCTTTTTGTAAATTCTAAAGAGAGAATTTTCTACTTTAGAAGAGATTTTATAATTTTTTTATCCTTTTAGACTTATCAACAGGCTAATTTCTTCACTGCCAGAATGGCATCACTTACTACCTCCGCCCAGTGTTCGGCGTCTGATGGTGCTTGCAGGAGCCCCCCGAGACAAGTCAAGCAGGTAAATCACTTTTAAGCATTCCTACTTCTTTTTATGTTTTTAGAAAATCGAGTCAGGGGATGTAGCCGACTTCACTGATGGTAGGATTTTATACAGAGTGGAAGTACTGTTTTAAAAATGTCATCAGAGAAACTAATAAACAGTATTAACACTCCTAAATTTGAACTGCTCATTGATTAATATAAATGTATGGAAGTTACTGATTGCTCATTGGTAAATTTTGAAAATTAGCATTTTTAGGGTATAGGTGGCTAGTGGGGAATTTGGGACCAAGTTGCATAAATTTGTGTTTTATCTCTTCATTCTAATTAATTTTTAAATTGTAGATAAATGTATTCTTATAAAAGATTAAAACTTTATAATATATTTATCTTTAAAGTATTTATAGAGATTTTTGACTCATCTCTTCCCCCAAAGTCCTTTTCCCCTAAGATACTACTACTAATCAGTTTGTTGTGTCTTGTTCCATATCTTTTCCCTAACATACCAAAGTACATCATTTTTGTTTTGTGTTTTCACAAAAAGTGCACACTATTATGTAGTATGTAGTGTGATTTGTTAAAAAGGCGGAATGTGTACTTGATGGGAAAGAGTGGCTTATATAATAAATGGTTTCGACATACATGGCCATCTCTGGAAGGAAACAAATTAAGACCTCAAACCTTGTATAAAAACAAATTGCAGATAGATAAAGACTTAAATGTAAAAAATGAAATGATTAAAAACATTAAAGAAAATTTAAGAAATATTTGTGAAACTTTAGATGAGGGAAGCCTTAGGACAAAACTGTCTAGGGTTAAGAGAAAGAAACAAATTTGACTATGTAAAATTTAGAAAACAAAATTGTGTGGCTAAAGGCAGGCTTCACAATCAAAAGTCAAGAGATACTAAACAAAGTCATTATCCCTTATATGGATATACCACACCTTGCTTATCTGTTTATCTGCCAGTGGTATTTGGGTTGTTTCCATCTTTTGGCTATTGTAAATAATGCTGCTATGAACACTGATGTACAAATACTTGCTTGAATCCCTGCTTTTAGTTCTTTTGTATGTGTACCTACGAGTGGAACTGCTGGATAATATGCAAATTCTGTTTAACTTTTTGAGGAACTGCCAAACTGTTTTCCACTGTAGCTGCACCATTTCAGATTCCCACCAGCAGTGCCCGAGGTATCTGGTTACTCCACATTCTCACCAACACTATTTTCTTTTTTCCTCTTATTATAGCCATCTTAGTGGTGTGAATGTGCTATCTTTTGAAAGTGTGATTTTTTAGGGAAAAAAATTATCTGTAGTTACCTTATGCATTGAAAGATTGTACAGTATTAGATAAGTGACTACCAGTGTTAAAAAGGTAAAGGTTTTCTTGTTTTCTGAGATATCAGAAGCCAATCTAATTGAAATGTAAATATCAGGTTTATTTTATATTCACCCCAGGTACGACCAAAACTGCCACTTTTGAAGATTTTGCAGACAGCAGGTGCACAAGGTGAAATCTTCACTGTTACCCAGGTAAACTGTCAAAATTCTGTTTAAGAATAGCCGAGAAGTAGAAGCTGATGAATATGTAGTTCAGAACTCAGGCCTAAAACAGGAAATTCTCCTGAGGTACTGGGGAGGCAACTTTCACTCTGTTTTAATAACCATCGAATTAAGTTGAATTTCATATTTCCTTTAAATTTCCTTTTGAAGTATGTTATCAAATTCCCACCAGTTAAACATAATCATGAGTCTGTTGATCTTAGTATTAAAATGCAAAACGTGTAAGATTTTAAATAGTGACTTGTCTATGATTTACAGGATATGCTGCCAGGCAGGAATTAAATGCTGTAGTTTTGCATTATAAATGTGTCAGATACTCTTTGGGGCACCGTGAGTTATTTTAAACACTTATGCATTTAAATAACCTATTTAGCTTCTAAAGTTTTTTTAAAAAACAAAAACAAAAACAAACTGCAATCTTGAAGTGGAAAAGACACGGTATTAAAATGTTAACTCTTCCAACTGTGCTTGCTTTTAGTAAGGTAAACTCTTCCTAAACAGAAGAAAACAAAATTACTAAGCTTTTTTTGAGTTCTGTTAAAAAGTCTATAACACCTATCTGCACTGTTGTACCCCTGAGCCATGAAAACGCGTAAGGAAACAAATCTGGGGGCATTTCAGATTCTCTAGAACATTCATATTTTCTTTATTATTTTAAATGAATTGCATCATTTTGGACTATATCTCTAAAATTCTGATAAGTGACTTTTTTTCAAATTTACTAAAAGTGTGGATTTTTATATCAAAATTATGAGTTACGTTGTCTCTAATAATGTAGCAGAATTTACCTAGATTAAGAAATGAAGTACGTAATGTTCAGGGAAAATGTTTTACTGGGGAAGAAGTTGGACAGAGGCAGTTTATGTGTTAAGCCCTATGTTATGAATCTTGACCCTACCTGGTCCATAAAGAGGAATTCCCTAAGTACTTTCAAATATTGGTTCTCAGGGTGTGCATTGAGGCAGTGTAGTATAATGAGAATATACAGATTTAGAGTGGTGTATATTTTTCTGAAATTTGGGTAGACATAAATAAAACACTTGTTCCCCCCGTTTTTGCCCTCCCCGCTTTTTTATAGTGGATGCTCTCCCCACCTTATTTTCCCCTGGATATTTGATTAGCTATGAGAACTTTGTTAATATTGGGGCATCCTGCCTGGGATGGCAGGTAGCCTAGGAGCATCATTGCTCCTAGTATAATGGGAACAGTGTTGGATAGATCACCAGATATCCAATAATTTCTGAGAAGTTGGGGTCTAAAGATAACGATAGCTGCTTTGGTCTGTTGTAATCTGAGATAACAGTATTCTTACTGTCCATAAGTGAACTTGATTATTAAGCAATTTTAAAAAAATCTGTTACCTAGGGAAAACATTAGGACAAAATTTGATCATTCTTAAGTTTTGAATTATGAACTTGTCTGTGTTCCCTTCTATTTTGTGAACCTGTGAAAAAAGACTAAAGTTTTGATAAACTTTAAATTCTGTTTTGATAAAATTTAAATTGTTTTATGCACTTATAGAGCCGATGGTTTATTAACCATTAAATAATTAAGTGAACACATATCAAAAGACTATTATAGTTATGTATCCCTGGACTTGTAAAGTATTTTTATGACCCAGGCAGATTTAAATTTTGTCCCCTCTTGTAATATAAGAGACCCCTTTATTTGGATTGGTGAGAAAAACTTAAAGGGGTACTAGGTAAATTACCACTTTTTCTTATTCCCAGTCATTTCTGTTACAAAACGTAAGGGTCTTTTAATGTCCAGAATGATAATAATAAGTGGAGGAACCTAGTAGTTGGGGTCAACTATACTGTTGTATGACCCTGGACCCCTTATATTTTACCTCTTCCTCTAGCAAGCCTAACTTACCTTACCTCCTTATAATTTGTATGTTTTTGACAGCAGCTGGATAGAACTCTTAATGGTATTTTGGTTCCATGCAGGTCATGCACTATCTAGGCCAGTATATAACAATGAAGCAGCTGTATGATCCACGGGAACAGCATATGGTATATTGTGGTGGAGATCTTTTGGGAGAACTCTTAGGATGTCAGAGCTTCTCTGTGAAAGATCCAAGGTAAAAAGAGTGGGGGTTTATTTTTTGGGGTGCTTATTCCTAACCACTTAATCTCCATAAGTTATTAATGGTTGTATGTTCCCTTATTCCACAAATATTTAAGAGCCTACATAAGTCAAGTAGCCTATGAGGTACTGAGAACATAGTAGTGACCAACAGTCTCTGATTTTATGGAGCTTAAAGTGTGGTGAGACAGATGCTGTTCCCCATCTTAATCAAATCATCACACTAATATATAGTAAAATTATACTATGATAAACATTATAGAAAAGAGGTACATGAAATTGTGATGTGTGGGGTTTAGGATCTTTTTAAAATTTTTTAAATTATTTTACTGATTATTCTATTACAGTTATCCTGATTTTACCTCTTTGTCCCTCTCCACCTAGCAACCCCACTCCCTCAGGCAGTCCCCCCACCATTGTTCATGTCCATGGGTCATGTGTAGATGTTCTTTGGCTACTCCATTTCCTATACTGTACTTTACATCCCCATGAATATTCTATAACTACCTATTTGCACTTCTTAATCCCCTCATCTCCTCACCCATTCCTCCACACCTCCCCTCCCATCTGGCAACCATCAAAATGCTCTCCATATCCATGATTCTGTTTGCTTATTCTTCTTGTTTGCTTAGTTTAATTTTTAGATTAAATTATTGATAGATACATATTTTTTGCCATTTTATTGTTTATGGCTTTGATCTTCTTTTTCTTGAATACATCACTTTTGTGATGATGAACTCCTTTAGCTTTTTCTTGTCTGGGAAGCTTTTTCCCTGCTTTTTGACTCTAAAGGATAGCTTTGCTGGGTAGAGAGCAATGTTGTCTGTCTGTAAGTCCCTGCTTTTCATGACTTTGAATATTTCTTGCCTGTCCCTTCTAGCCTGCAGAGTTTGAGAAATCAGCTGACAGTCTTATGGGAACTCCCCTGTAGCTAACTAATTTCTTTTCTCTTGTTGCTTTTAAGATTCTCTCTTTATCTTTAACCTTTGGCATTTTAATTCTGATGTGTCTTGGAGTGTGCCTCTTTGCATCCATCTTGTTTGGGACTCTGTGCTTCCTGGGTTTGCATGTCTATTTCCTTCACCAAATTAGGGAGCTTTTCTTTCATTATTTTTTCTAACAGATTTCCAGCTTCTTGCCCTTTCTGTTCTCCTTCTGTCACCCCTATGATTTGAATGTGGAACTTCTCGAAGTTGTCCCAGAGGCTGCTTACACTATCCTTGGATTTTGTTTTGTTTTTTATTCTTTTTTCTTCTCTTTGTTCTGATTGGTTGTGTTTTTCTTCCTTACATTCTAAATCATTGATTCGAATTCTTGGCTTCATTCACTCTACTGTTGTTTTCCTGTAAATTGTTCTTTATTTTAATTAGTGTATCCTTTGTTTATGACTGGACCTGTTTTATGCTGTTGAGGTCCTCACTAAGTGCCTTGAGCATCTTTATAACCAGTTTTTGGAACTCTCATCTGGTAGATTGCTTATTTCCATTTTGTTTAGCTCTTTTTCAGGAGTTTTGATCTGTTCTTTCATTTGGGCCATGTTTCTTTATATCCTTGTTTTGGCAGCCTCACTGTGTTTGTTTCTATGTATTAGGTAGAGCTGCTTTGACTCCATGTCTTGGTAGTATGGCCTAATGTAGTAGGTGTCCTGTAGGGTCCAGTGGCACAGCCTCCCCTATCACCCAGCTGGGTATTTGAGATGTGCCCTTCATGTGCTGAGTACACCCTCCCCTTGTAGTTGAGCCTTGGTTGCTGTTGGCAGATCAATGGTGGGGGGGTACCCAAGCTAGTCAGAGGCAAGGACTGGCTGTGACCACTGACCACTAACCCTCACCTAACCTCCATGGAGGGTCGATCACTTGTGCAGGGGCAGGGTGGTGGTGCTCTGACATGGTCTGTAGCTGTCTACTAGGTGCACTGGCTCTGGGGTTTCCCAGGTGGTATAACCCAAGGTCATCCCCCACCTGTGTTTTGCCTGTGGCTACCCTGCCTGAGCTATAAAGCTCTAGAGCTCAAAGAGATGGCTTCTATTTGTGCTTGACTTGGAGATTCCCAGGTGCAGCCAAGCTCTGAATGTAGGCTGGTGCTGCTAGTGTCAGGCCTGGGGCTACTGAGGGCAGCTGTTGCTTGAGAGGAGTTAGGAAGTTGTGCAACTTGAGCCAGGACCAGCCATTCATATGGAAAAGCAGCTTTGGTGGGCCAGTACATTGAGTGCTGATCTCTAAGGCGGGACACACAGTGTTAGCCATGTTTATGGAGTCTCAGATATGGCACCAGCCCTCTGGCTCTGTGGTGGGAGGGAGTAGAAAAGGGACAATGGCCTCTGCTTGCTTTGATGCCAGACACTTTAGTTTCTCCCTGTATGTCACTGGTGCCTTTTAAGCTGCTACCCTGCTGCTGGAGCTCAGAGGGAGGGAGTCTGAGTAGGTGAGTCTGTGTGTGTGTTCTTGAAGAGGAACTGCTTGGTGCTCCAGCATTTTCTTGCCTTGACCCAATCTCTGCAGGTTTTTGCAGCCAGAAGTTGTGGGGACTTAACTTCCTGGCACTGGTAACCTGGGTTAGGGGGCCTGATGCAGGGCTGGTACTCCTTGCTTCCTAGATATTCTGCCCAAATGTTTATCTGCCACATGTGGAGTGAGGGACCAGCCTGTTCTGCATCTGCACCCCTCCTACCAGTCTGGTTGAATGTGGTTTCTTTTTAATTCCATAGTTTTCAGACTTCTACTCAACTCAGTTTCTGGTGGTTCTAAGTGATGGTTATTCTTTATGTTAGTTGTAATTTTAATGTGGTTGTGCAAAGAGGCAAGCCATGTCTGCCTACGCTGCCATCTTGCAGTCTGGGGCTTAGGATCTTAAGTGTCAAGGAAATGTTCCTTGAGAAACTGATATTTGAACAGAGAGCCGAAGGATAATTAAAGAGTCAATTAGAAGGAGCTGGGTGAAATGGCGTTTATGGCAGATTGAACCTCTATATGTAAAGGCCTGGATATTAGGGAGCTTGGTGTGGCTAGGTTAGAATTTTGTGAAACGGTTGTAGAGAAAGGAAAAGTAAGATGATGAGAGAAAAGTAGGACTGCTGGGTAGTCTGAGGTTGATAATGGACTTCATAAAAGTCACAGTAGCAGTTCTCTGACCTGTTGTGTGACTTTCTTCATATGCATGGAGTATTTGGTTATTTGTATAATCAAAAGCTAATTAGTGATTGAGAAGCCAGTGTTCTTTTTCTCTCTATATAGTTTTGTGATGACTTTCTTTTGAGTTATTTTGTCTTCTGGTCAAAGACTCACTTCTACCACCACTCCCTGATTAAAATGTAAAACTTAACTCTCATAAGGAAGGAGTAGTCTGCCAAGGAAATCTCCCCACTTTGGTTACTCAGCTAATAAAGTAAAACATAAATTAATCAGTTTTTAATGGACAAGTAATACAAGTAATAGGATTTGGGCATTAACATCTTGATATTTTATTTTATTTAAGATTTTAATTTTAATTTTAAATTTTTAATTTTAAAAAATATTTTATTGCCCTGGCTGGCGTAGCTCAGTGGATTGAGCGCCGGCTGTGAACCAAGGCGTCACCGGTTCGATTCCCAGTCAGGGTACATGCCTGGGTTGCAGGCCATGACCCCCAGCAACCGCACATTGATGTTTCTTTCTCTCTCTCTTTCTCCCTTCCCTCTCTAAAAATAAATAAATAAAATCTGTAAATTTTTTAAAATTTATTTTTAGAGAGAGGGGAAAGGAGGGAGAAAGAGGGGAAGTGAAACATCAATGTGTGGTTGCCTCTTGCGCACCCCCTACTGGGGACCTGGCCTGCAACCCAGACATGTGCCCTGACTGGGAATTGAACTGGTGATGCCTTGGTTCTCAGGCCTGCGCTCAATCCACTGATCTATACAAGCCAGGGCATATTTTTATTTATTTATATATTTTTAGGCAGGGGAAGGAAGGAAGAAAGAGAGGGAAAGAAACATCAGTGTGTGGTTGCTTCTTACACGCCTCCTACTGGGGACCTGGCCTACAACCTAGGCATGTGCACTGATTGGGAACTGGCAACCCTTTGGTTTGCAGGCTGGTGCTCAATCTACTGAGCCATACCAGCCAGGGCAACATCTTGATATTTTAGTAATTTAAAAGATCTGTTCTGGGGGGAAGGTTATCTCTCCACATGTTACAAAGTTGGGAGATAGGGCATATCAGAAATACACTTAACATTTTAATGGAAAACCATGGGGTTATTAATTTTTTATTTTTATCTCCCTGACAGCCCTCTCTATGCTATGCTAAGAAGGAATCTTGTTGCTTTAACCACTGCTGCTGCAGGTATGATCTCATTATATTTTTTCAGTCTGTATCACAGCTTTGAATTCAAGGGGGGCAAATGATGGGAAGGGAAAACAAGAAGGATCAAGTGGAGATGGAATGCTATCTTAGCATGACTTGGAGGGACATGATTACACAGAATGTGATTACTATGCTATTTAATTTTTCATTGTGAAAAATTTTCAATATATTAAAGATAGATTGTTATAATTAATGTGTGTGCCTCTTAGGCTTAGTAATTGTTAACATTTGACTGTGTTTGCTTCATGTAGGTATACTTTTAAAAGCTCTAACAGATTAGGACTTTTTTCCAACTTAACTACAATGTCATTATTATACCCAGCAGTATAATAATAAACTAAGTTAACTCCATAATACTACCCAATAGCCAGTTTATGTATAGTGACCCCCGGTTATCTCAGAAATATCTTTTACACTGGGCTTGTTCAAAGGCTACATTTGATGCAAAGCCCACACATTGCATTTGTTGCTAACACTCCTTTTGTTATGTCATTTATTTGGTGAAGAAATGGATCATTTGTCCTGTAGCATTTTCTGCATTTTAGAATTAGCAGATTGTATCCTTGTGATGTTATTTAACATGTTTGTTTCTCTACTCTATTTTTGGTAAACTAGTAGTGCTTGAATAGATTCAAGTTTAAATTTTTTGCTGATAAAGTTTCATAGGTGGTGCTTTGTATATCTACTGCATTACATCAGAGTCGTGTAAGGTCTTGTGTCCCTCTTTCAGAGATCAGGTTTTGTGGGCTTGCATAGTATCAGCCTGATCTATCTATTATAAAGGTCCCCCAAGAACCCCTTGACCTAATGGTTTTAGTTTTCTGTTATCTGAACGCTAGTTTGTCTCACACTTTGCTTGATTCCATACCTTTTAAATACTGCCATTTGAGTTTACTTCACTAGGTGTGTACAGGAAGTTGGCTGCTTTGGGTCTGAAGTGTGATGTGTTAGAGATAAGTGAGTTAAACTGGAGACAGCTGAAATGTAACCCTGTTTCTCACTCATTTCCAAGTAGTGCAACTGTTTTTCTTCAAGATAGCACTTTAGGTTGGCTATCTTTCAATAGTTTATTGAAACAAATAGCTTGGAAAAGAATCTGTTCCTAATAAAGATTTACATTTTAAAGTGAGAGCAAATTTTGAAGCCTGGGGTTTCACTGAGCTTTTGCCCACTTCACCCAGCTGTAAATTTCTGTTTGAGGGGGAAGGCCTTCCAAATGATAGTTTGATTTGAAGTTCACTCACTTGAGAAATAATATGGCATTTCTGTGGTATTTACTACATGCTTGAAATAGAGAATTTTATATTTGCTTCTGTGCATTTCAGTAAAATTTGTTCTCTGATCTGTCTGTGAATATCTAGAGTAGGTATAATTCTCACTTTTTGTCTCTCATTTTCTTTCTCACACTCCCCTTGCAGAATTTATTACGCTGTTTCACTAATGAACATTTCTATGACAAACATTTCAATAGATCCTCACAACAACCCTGAGAAAGGTCTAGAGATAAAAAAACTAAGATTTTTTTAAATAAGAGTAATTTTTCCAGATTAGATGCCACTGATTAAGTGGTACAGGAGACACATCTGATTGGCGAGCCCTTGATTTTTTTTTTTATTATGCCACACATTGCTTAACCCTTGCTTGTAACAGAATTTGCTCCAATTAATTTTTTAAACATTTTTTTCTCAACATTAAATCCTTAAAATGTTTTAATCTTTTCTTTGAACATTTTGAACATTAAATCTTTAAAATGTTTTATTTTTCAGCTTGTCACTTTGAAATAATTTCACCTACAAAACCAATTACAAAACTATTATAAAGAGTTCTTATATTCTTTACCTAGATTGCCCAAAGGGTAACATCTTGCATAATCATTGTAGAAGTAACCGTGTCTGCTCTGACTTGCACTTACATTAGTACTTGCGGTTCATTTTTGTAAAATGGGTTACCTGCTCTGTGTTTTATTTGAAAGGACAAATGAGATAAGTGATTTCCGTATCACCTATTTTACACCTCTGCAACTGAGCTAAATCTTTTATTTTGGTAGTTGAAGAAAATGTTATTTAAACTCAAGGTTTTTTGTTTGTTTGTTTGTTTTTTTCAATCTTCATCCAAGGATATGTTTATTGATTTTAGAGAGAGGGTGAGAAGCATCAATATGAGAGAGAAATATTGATTGTTTGCCTCCTATATGTGCCCCAGCTGGGGATTGAACCCACCACCTAGGTGTGTGCCCTGACCGGGATTCGAGCCCCCAGCCTTTTTGGTGTATGGGACAAAGCTCCAACCAACTGAGCTGCCTGGCCAGGGAGACAGTGGTTCTTTTTCCTTCCAAATTTCCACATGCATCCTAATAAAATGAAATATATATGACAAACTTTGAATTTATTTTTAAAATTGTTTAGTGCAGTATAGTTTTCTCAGGTAACTTTTTTTTTTTTTTTTTTGCTTCTGACTGTTGTAACCTAAGTAAGGTGATAGGTTTTAGAATATAAATGACAATCAAATGACAGTGAAAAAAAGTGCTTCATCTACATTAAATGTTGACTGAGCTTGAAGACCACTGTGGTCAGAAAATGCAGATAGCTTCTCAGTAGCTCTGTTTATCAGTAACAGTGCTTCTAGAAATAATGTCCTTTATAATTACAATTTTGAAAATGTTTGCTTTGTGCAAAACAACTGAATTATGAGACCAGTTGTAGAATCTGTATTCTCTGCCAGTCTATTTAGATGAGGATATTTAAAAAAATTTTTATTTATTTTCGGAGTAAAAGAGGTTAAGGCGGTGGGGGGGTTGGCGGTGAAGGGTGGGGAGAGAGAAGCATTGATTTGATGTTCCACTTATTTATGCATTCATTGGTTGATTCTTTTTTTTTTCTTAAAGATTTTATTTATTTATTTTTAGAGAGCGGGGAAGGGAGGGGCAAAAGGGAGAGAAATATCCATCAGTTGCCTCTTGAATACCCACAGCTGGGGACCTGACCTGCCACCCAAGCATGTGCCCTGACCAGGAATCAAACCTGCAACCTTCCAGTTTGCTGGCTGGTGCTCAATCCACTGACCCACACCAACCAGGGCCTGGGGTTGATTCTTGTATGTGCCCTGACTGGGATTGAACCCGCAACCTTGGTGTGTTGGGATGATGCTCTAACTAACTGAGCTACTTGGCCAGGGCCTAGAGGAGGATATTTTCCATAATATCTCTGGACCTGATTGATAGTAGTCAATGAACCCAATCAATGATAGACTGATTTACAAGCATCTTAGTTATGTATAGTCTGATATAATGAGTGGTCCAGATTATTAAACTCTCAGAAGCTAAGTTTTCACTTTCTGTTTTGTTTGAAAATTTCTAGGTCCTTGAATACATTTCTTTCAGACTATCTAAGAATTTCTCTCAGGTTGTTGTTTCCTGTGCATCTTTTTATTGGCCTTGAAAAAAACTTTCTCTGCTGTTTCTTCTTTCTTGGGAAATGTTTCTAGTAGCTGGGAAAAATAAGACTTGTTGATTTAAAAAACCTAATCTATATTCAGGTTGATGGGAATTTAAACTGTGAAATCATCATTGACATTAGAATGTAAGTTTACATGAAGATGCTGTTGTGCTATGAAGCAAGTGAGAAATTTCAGATTTTCAGATTCATAACCTTTTATAATTTCTTAACATTTGAAAGTAAAAATTAAATTAAAAAGCCAAACCTTTTTCTTTTGTTGTTATTTATAGTTAGGCAAATTTGGTAATAAAATACCTATAGGAAGAGATGGTAAAAATATGCCCCATTATTTCCTCTTGCAATCACTTTTCATACTAAAGTTTGAAAGCTTGCTGTGGAAGAAGATTTTTTGGTCATTTTTCATTTCCCCCTATATTATATTTTGGTAATATATTTTGATTATAGCCTGTTTCGGTTTTTGCGCTTTTTACCAGTTTTGATTTTTCTGTTCCTTTTGGATGAGAGCCTTGTTCAACCAACATGGAGAAGTTCATCTCTAGGGACCAAACCTGGCTCCAGGGCTGTTTGCTGAGGTCCTTTTTGTGTGGAAAGAATGGTTATTACCAGGGAAGGTTTTCCTTTTGTTTTACTTGCTATCCAGATGCTGCTCAGACTCTCGCTATCGCACAGGATCAAAATCTGGATATTCCAAGTCAAGACCAACTGAAGGTAAAATCACCACATGGTGACTTCTTTTGTTGTACAGAGTGGCCCCTTCTCTGTACCTGTGGATCTTGAACTCCCAAGACCTTTTGCTTAATGTGGTAAGAATTTAATAAGAAAGGTTCTTGGGAGTTCACAGACCAGGGACAGAGTGAAAATTCTCTGTTCTATCCATAACAGAGCTTCAGGCTCTGAATCTTTCTTTGGGATGTAGCACTTCTGATCTTCAGTTTTTCCAGTTGCATCTTCTTTGTGTGCGCACCTGTGTGTGTGTGATGGTATATGTTCATAGGTGTGTGAAGAAACTGATAAGATTTTAATAGACTCATTGCAAGTAAGTTTAAGTTTATATCAGGTCGTTTCTTTTTCTTTCTTTTTTACATTTTTGATATTTTATTCCTGCTAAATAACACTTCAATTAGTCATAAGACTCATCAAAAGAGAGAAAAATCAGAATTTTGTGCTTATTCTTATGTTTGTACTTGCAGCCAACAGTTCAGTGACAAACTTAGATTTTGTTAATCAATTACAAATATTGATCCCAGTCTGCTGCTGTGCTCCATTCCACTGTAATAAGTAGCTTATACTGAAAAAGAATTACTGTCTTCATAGTTGGAGGCTATTTCTTAAAGCTTCCTTAAACCTGGGAAAACTTTATGATCATCTTGGTATATGGTGAGGATTTCTCATATTTTCTGAATTATACTTAATTTTGTAGTAGACTAAAGGATTTATATTGATAGCCTATTTTTAACAGTAGATTTTGTTCTTTTGTGCAGAGATTCCCCTCCCACCCCCAGGTTTGGGATTCTCCTAGTTGTGTTCACAGTGGGTTGAGACGTTGCCTTTATTTGATGACTCCTGTGAACTTCAAGTTCTCTTTCTTGTGTGTAACCCATTGTGTCGCACACTAGCTGTTGAGCCAGAACGGAACTGCTACATCCCCTGGTCTCAGTTGTTTCTGCTGCACTGACACATGCCTTTCCCTTCTTTTCAGCAAAGTGCAGAGGAAAGTTCCAGTTCCAGGAAAGGTACTGAAGAAGGCGATATTCCCGCTGTGCCTACCTTACAGTGCAAACAACTTTCTAGAGAAAGTAAGTTTGGGATTAAGGCTGTGTAGACTTTTCTTTTTTGTTGATGACTTCTAGAAATGGCATCTATCCAAATTAAGCACTAGCTGTAATTAATGCTGTTATATAGACAACTCAAAAAATAATAATGCTATCTCTTCGCATGTAAAGTGGGAGGGGCATATGTCATACTTGCTTCTCATTCTTTTCTGAAAATCTTTTTTTCTGTCCTTGTTACTATTGTTCACTTTGAAGAAGATGGTAGTGCTCTTTTAGCAGCCGATGATTACTGGGATGGTGCAGAGACACTTCCTTCAGCCAGCAAGCCTCATAGAAGATGGCTACACATTGATCAGTTTGCCAAGTGGTAACTTAGCTGCCTTGGCCTTTTAAACCTTGGCACCCCCGTACATATTTGGTTTGGTTAGAATTTTTATTTTGATTCATTTGCTTGATGCAAATTTTCATAGGTTTTTGAAGTTTGAAAAATGATAAAATATACTTAGTATCTCAGAGTCTTAGTATCTCAGAGGCCACTACAAGGGGCCTTGTAGTTCTTTGGCCCTTGGGTGATAGTTATCAGATCTTTGCCATCCACACTAGATATAGTATGGTTAGGTTAAATGAGTTCATTGACGTTTCCCGTGAGCCCTACTTTATGAAATATATCCTGAAAACTTTTCTGCAGTAATGTATAAAGTCAAAAATTCCCCAAAGGTATTTTATGGCATGATGATTTCTAGTCTAGGCTCACATTTTGAGCAGTGGCAGGAAAGTTATACTGTAGAAATTGTTGTAAATGTTTAAATTAAAATTGTATCAGTTTATCAGCTGGGTGGTTTTCCTCAGGTTGCATTTGATTGCAAACTGAATAGTGGGCTGTCTAATTGCCTTGGAGCTTATTCCAGTCTTATGGCATTAAATGTATAAAATTTTGTTTCTTTAAATGCAGTGTTTTGCTTATTTTCTACTTAGAATGCTGTTTAACATATAACAACAGCCAATTCAAGAAACTATGTATTTTATGATGTAAATTTTGAGAATAAACAGCCTAATATTTTCAGAAAGATGTATAGGTAAAAAGGACAGAATTTTTATATGTGGAAAGAATGATCTATTTCCATTCCCTGCATGAGAAGTTACAGAGCTTGACTGGGTGAAGATACTTCAATAGTCATCTTAGGAGTTTGGTTTCTGATAACTTCAGCAATGAGTGAGTAAAAAGGGAGTTGACATTTCCCTGAGCACAGATAAACCTTTTAATAGGCAGGATCAACATAATTTGTAAGTAGGTGGGATAAATTTTTGTTCTAGCAGGGACCCATTATTACACATTTTTTTCAAACATATGTACTTCAGCACATTTAAACACCCGTGGTTGCCATTGGTATGTCTAGTGCATTGGGAGAAGAGGTAGAGGAGAGGGAGAAAGGAAAAGAGTAAAACACAACAAAAAAGACTGCACAATAGGAGAGAAAAAATTTTATGTGGTAGCAGCAAACACATGTTAGTAACTGCCTTGAGTGTCATTTAGATGTAGGACAGAGGATCTTTTACATGGAATATGTGGGGCCTTAATGTGTTTTGGGTTTTCAGTACTTTTGGATTTTAGGTATCTTAACTCTGAAAGAGCCCACTGATCCAGAAGGGACATATGTATATATTTTTTTGGACATCCTAGAAATTGGCATTTTACAGTGGTTATTACCCGTCAAACATATGAATTATTGAGAAATGTCCCAAAATGTGTGGTACCAATGAGACTGCTTTGACAACCTTGTATTTGCCTGTGTTTTGTCCTATATCACCTCCTATCTCAAGGGTCTGGCCACTGTACCATTGCCACGTGCAGTCCAGTAGATCAGCTATTATTAAATACCATGTACTAGAGCAAGACATTCTTTAGTTACTACAGTGGTAGGAATGTTTAAAATGCCAGTAAGTGACCCTTAGAAACCACTTTAGAACAATGTCATTGTTTGTATGATTTCAGAGTATAGATTTCTTGATAAACGATTATCTATTTCTAGTGTTGTTACTTGTTAATGAAGCCTAAACAGGGGAGGAGATTTGGGCTCTGCTAAGGTATTTGGTTTCTGAGTCTTTATTACTGGGAGTAGGAATTACTTTTTACTTATAAAGAGATTATAAGAATTATAAAGAGTCTTGATGCTTAAGGGTTGTGTACATAGTTGTTACCATCCTTTTCATTTGACTTCTGTAGATGAAGACTTGATAGAAAATTTAACCCAAGATGAGACATCTAGGCTGGACCTCGGGCTTGAGGAGTGGGATGTAGCCGGCCTGCCTTGGTGGTTTTTAGGAAATTTGAGAAACAATTATACACCTAGAAGTAATGCCTCAACTGATTTACAGACAAATCGGGTAAATTTCTGTTTGAGAGGAACTTTTTTTCCCTTTTGGAAAGAGTAACATTCTTGGTTACTCTTGTCCGCACATGACATTCTCTAAAAATTCTCATACAGTGCTGTGACTTGTGCCGTCTGTGTACAGACAATGCGCAGATCTGTATCTTTAGTCCTGACCTCTCCCCTAAATGCCCAACCTCCGTACCTAGCTGCCTCCTTACGCAACACCTCTGCTTAGATGATCTGACATTTAACATGTTGAAAACAGAACTTTTTTTTTATACTAAATACTCCTATCCAGCCTATCCTTTGTAAGTCTACCTTCTACCAGTTACTCCAGCCAAATACCAAGGAATATGATGGATTTCTTTCTCTGTCACATGCCACATTCAGGTTATCCAAAATGTCCAAAATCTAACCAACCACTTTTTATTACTTCTACTGCCATACCCTAATTTAAGCCATCATTATTCTGTTCCTTTGTCTTATTTTTATATTCTCCATTGTACTTCTTGCTTTGTAAAATGATTATTTTACTGTGCTTATGTATGCCTTGACTGTTTATCCCCACTGAAATGTAAGTCCAGGGCTTTTGCATTATTAACCACTCTATTCTGTTGCCTATTACCTAAAACAGTATCTGACACATACTAGTCATTCACTGAGTATTTGTTCAGTGAATGAATGGGCATATTATGGCAAAATAATAAGTTGTCTCTTATGAATATGGTAGAAAAGCATGTCATAAAATTCCATAGTTGAATGCAGAAAGAAATTTAAAGTTGTTTAAGATCAGAAAGTTGAGTTACTGTCAGTATTTCTCATATTTCTTTAACAAACTTGGACCATTAAAGGAAGGAATAACTCATAATTAATAGAATGTTTTCTAGGTTCTCAGAGTGCCACTTGTGGACATGAATGTAGGGAATGGATTCTGTGAGCTCGTTAGTGCTGCTTCTCAGGTGTTAACACTGAGGTATTGTTACATCAGAAAACTCACCAGGCACCCGTACGTCCATTAGCTTTTACATAGCAGGTGCCAGGTAGATATTTGCTGAATGGGTAGATGTCCATTGGAGAAAGGCTAGGTGTTTGGAGACATTGAGGACACTGAGTTTTGGGTTCATTTATGTTGGTTCAGCATCTCTGATAAGCCTCTGACTACAAAAACTCATGTTTATTTTTTTCTGTTAGGATGTGGGAACTGCCATTGTTTCAGATACTACAGATGACGTGTGGTTTTTGAATGAGTCAGTACCAGAGCAGTTTGGTGCTGGAGTAAGAGTTGAAGCTGCTGGTACTGAACAAACAAGTGAAGAAGTAGGGAAAGTGAGAGACAAACTGGTATGTTGTGGAAATATTTCACATTGATTGTATTTATGTGTGTGCAGAATCTATTCAGATCTGGTGATGTGACCTGTACTATACTGCTTTGTACATCATCCCCCCTTTTTTCTTAATATTTTCCTATATTAATTTTCAGATTCATACTAAGTTAATCAAGGGTGTCTTAAAAATAGGCTAGGATTCCATGGATAAAGCTCCTTCTTTGTTAGAAGCAATAATCTACCCTTTTCCTGTTTGCCTGGTTTCTCATGGTAGAGCTTTTTTTTCTGGAGACCTTGCTTTGCTAATAAGGCAAAGTTCTAAATGGCCACAATAGCTTGTAGGAAGTAGAAATCCTTATTTCTTGGACATCTCAATGGCTTTTGTAACCATTTTATACCCAGTGGAAATAAACAGATGAGTTTTTCCTAAATATTATACATGTTAGATGGTGGGGGGGTAGAATTCTGAGTGCACATGATATGACTACACCGAGATGGAGAGTATGTGCTCAAGTCTCAAAAACAACTGGGCAGCAGACCCCAGTGCCTGACATGATCAAGAATCTCAGTAAATATCCACTGAATAAATAGCAAAAAGCAGACCTAAATTGGATATTTGTTTTAATTTAAGGAATTTTCATAGTAATTTGGGTTCCTGAAGGGGATATCCACTGTGTTTGTGGTAGGCAGATAGATGCTTGGGTTCTCTTAGATGAGTCACATGGGTAGCATTAGGAGGAAATGCAAGTGGCTAGAATGAAGACAAAGGTGACATTTGGGAACCTCTATAGAGAGATGGGACTTAAAATATTTGAACTTTTGTGAGAAATTTGCTATACAGGGAGTCATAATTGTATTATAATTGGTTTTATTCCATTTAATATGTCATAAGGGGTTTTAATTTTTAGAATTTTATATTCTAAATTTTAAAGTTCAGAAAACACTTTACATATTTCATTTCCTGGCCTGTGGGCTTTTTTTTTTTTTTTTTTAAGATTTTATTTATTTGCTCCTAGAAGGAAGAGAAGGGAGGAAGAGAGGGAGAGAAACATCAGTGTGTGGTTGCCTCTCATGCTCCCCCTACTGGAGGTCTGGCCTGCAACCCAGGCATGTGCCCTGACTGGAAATTGAACCTGCAGTGCCGCCCCACGCAGGCCCCCATTTTGCAGGCTGGCACTCAGTCTACTGAACCATACCAGCCAGGGCTGCAGGCATGTTTTTTGTGGGACAACCAGAGCATCACATATCTAGTTGTGCTTTTGAATATGCAATGTGCATTCTTTACATTTAAGTTACTTATTGTATACAGTCTTAAAATGCCCACGTAGAGTCCCAAGATAGATTTCCATATTTAATTGTAGCTTTTCTACTCAAATACTGTTTTGTTTTTTTAAGTCATAAATATGGGCACCCTCTTCCTTCTGAATGCAGAAGGTATTTGGTAACTCTCTGAGTGCTAGGTATGTACAGAACCATGTTTTTGGTCTCATATTTAAGTTCTCTCCTTTGAAAGTGGTAATGATGGAGGCAGCATGTGAGCTTTCAATGGAAGCTTTTTTGTCTTTTCTTCTCTCTGGTAATAACTTCATGTGAAATAGGTAAACCTTACTAATAAGATGTCTTTGCCATCACAGGTGATTGAAGCAGGAAACAGTGATGACCTTGAGGACACTCAGTCCATATGTGATGATACTGATGTAGAGGTTGCCTCTGAGGTACAAGTCTCTGGGAAAAGAGCCATTTTGCACCCTTTATGTCTTCAGATGGTAACATTCCAGCAGTTTGCTGTGAAGAATGTCGTTTCCCCCTATCTTTATCTACCTTTCCTGGGTGATTAATGATGTGGGTTTCTTTACATTTTGTTGAGATTTTTATTGAAATTTGAGAAGAGATGACTTGATCTGTCTTCTTCCTGCCTTGAAAAGAGATGACTTAAATGTTTCTTTGTGTGCCTTTCGCCCTGCCACAGAAACTTTGTACACAATGTAGTGGGTACACAGTTACTCAGAACAGTCCTGCACTGCTTTTCCCACTAACATCTCTGTAATGCCAAAGCTAGACTTACAAGCTGTCTACAATTCTTTGTCAAGAATAAAAACTACATTTTCAATGCTATCTTAAAAAGAAATGGAAAATGGCTTAATTTCCAAACAGATTTACATTAATGGAGGGCTAATAAGTGAAGATTTAGTATTAAGGTTTCAGGTAATAGGTGTGGGTTTGTCAGCAATTATAACTCAGGTGTAGACACATATGTGTTCCTTGTTTTTCTATTTTCATGCTAGCTCCCCATTTTCCTGTAAGTACTCTCCTGAGCTAACTCACTGAAAAAAAGGGGGTGATGAGGGAAAGATAAGGAGGGGGTTTACTTTTTGCTGCTTGGGGATAGAAACATTTTAGGTTGTCTCTGGTGTTGATCCCTCCCCCATTCCCATCCCACCACTATTGACCATTATGGTAATAATTCATTGCAAATTATCTGTGCATAGCTAAGTAATAAAGTAGAATATGTCAGTCCATTAAGTGTTCTTGACCATAGTACAAATAGCAGAGTAAAGTGTTTATATCTTCATCAGATTTCTGTGGCTACTTGGACCCAGAAAACCTATTAAGCAAATAGACTTTTCGAATTTAACAAGTCCTGTTACTTTATGTACTACTAGAAAAGTTGATGCCAATTAGATTATGACACACCACCGAGTATGAATTCCAGATCTTTATGAAGTCCCTTTGAGTATTTGTGTGGGATCTGAGGATCTTCAACAGCCATAAGAGTGTTTTGAAACTCTCTAGAGAACATCCCAGTTTAACAGATGGTGTCCCTGTCTCTTGGTCTGGGCAGCTGAGTTATGACTTCCAAACTTAAAGTGCTTGGTGTTCATTTTAAAAGCAGTTAGGTCAGCCTGTGTCAAAGCCAGGCAGTTATCTGCATTAAATACTCTTGACTTGTTCCAGGTAGCAACCTTTGAATTAAGCAAGGCATGTAAAATGTATTGAGCTCTGGGATCTCCTAATTTGAATATTGTGAAGTAGGAAAAATTCACTTGGCATTCAAGGATAAGAACATTCATTTTTCAGAGGGTGTAAGTTGGGTGTACAATTAGCTACCTATGATCCTGAGAGCAGTGAGAAAGCATGAATACACTTAGTAGTTTTTAAATCTCAGAATTGTAGCTTTTTTTTGCCAGATGTTACAATGTTTCTTAAATAGTAGGAAAGAATGAGAATAGTATCTCTTCTTCATTCTGTATCTCTTAACTCAATATAAGAGTTAGTTGTACAAAAAGAAATGATCGTAAAAGAAGGCAGTGGGGAAAAGTAAACTGTAAATTCCACTCAGACTAAAACACCAAAATAATTAATTTAACTTTTTAAAAGATTGCTACATAAACTTTTGGCTTGAATTGGCCATTTTGTAACTATCAAAGTGGCTGTACAGTTTATTTTCATCTAGGCTAGACGTCGGGCTTAGTGAGATGATGAGAATTTGGCCTACCTTCCCTTTCTCTCAGCATCCAGTTCCCTACCGAGTGTTAATTGGCTGCACTTGTCTTTGTAGGATGAATGGCAGTGTACTGAGTGCAAGAAATTTAACTCTCCAAGCAAGAGGTACTGTTTTCGGTGCTGGGCCCTGAGGAAGGACTGGTATTCAGATTGTTCTAAGTTAACCCACTCTCTCTCCACGTCTGACATCACTGCCATACCTGAAGAGAAGGAAAGTGAAGGAATCGATGTTCCTGATTGTCGGAGAACCATATCGGCCCCAGTTGTTATACCTAAAGATGGATATAGAAAAGAAGAAAACCCCAGACTCTTTGATTCCTGCACCTCGGTGGAATTCTTGGATTTGGCTCATAGATCTGAAAGCCAAGAGACCATATCAAGCATGGGAGACAAATCGGCTGATCTTTTTAAACAGAGAACAGCTGTAGAAAACGTGGAGGATTGCCGGAATCTTTTGAAGCCATGCAGTGTATGTGAGAAAAGACCACGAGACGGGAACATTATTCATGGGAAGACGAGCCACCTTGTCACCTGTTTTCCCTGTGCCAGAAGATTAAAGAAGGCTGGAGCTTCATGTCCTATTTGCAAGAAAGCGATTCATTTGGTTATTAGGGTTTTTATAGCATAGCTGAATCAATGAATTACAAAAATATTAACAGGGCCAGAGCATGTAGCAAAACATCAGTGTTAAGCATTTCCACTCAGTGTGACCCATCGTGTCCATTCATTTATTCATGTTTTTCAGGACATTTTTTGCTTCCAAACATGGAAATTGAGAATGAATTCTTCAGAACTAGATCATTAATTTGGGGGCTCAATTAACAATGGGGTTTTTCCAGATACGGGAAGTAAACAAGATTCTTTTATTTAGCATTCATATTTAATTTCTAGAGGATAAGGTTTGTTAAAATCCAAGAACTTTAAAACTAGAATGCACTCATATACTCAGCCTCTTTTTATTTTGCACATGAGGCTAAAGGTTGAGTGACTGCAGAAAGTCAGAGCTAGTACTGGAATTCAGATCTATATTTTAAGTCATATTTTCAGTAAATCTTGAAGCCATACTTGCTTTCTTCTTATTAGTTGTTAAATATTTAAATGGTGGTGCTTGTTGAATTTGGAACAACCCATAGCCTTAAAATAATGGAGAATATGACTTAGCAGCCAAGGTTGGCCTTTAGATAGAACAGTAGTTTGTAGCAGTTTTTCCCAAAAGAGAGAAGGCCCAGTAAGTGTCAGGCTTTCCTATATAATCATGTAAGTGATTCCTCCTATTGGGAGGGCAAGTAAAGGTGGCAAAGGGCCCTGAAGCATTTTCTCCAATACGGTCCCTTCTTGGGGAGTGCAGCTCACAGCTCTGCCTCTGGGGACAGGAACAAGGCCTTTCCCCAGTATGGGGGACTAGCCCTTTGATTTCAGTATTTTGTTGGGCTTTGGTAAATGTTTTAAAACTTCAGAAAGTTAAATTACTTCCCTGTTACTCCCCCAAGACTCCTTTCTTCATGTTAGTTTGACAGCCCTCAATTTTATTTTTTCCGGTTAGGTCTTTTTACAAGGGATACCTTACAAGAGGCAGGGAGAATTGGGGATCTGCACTAGGATCCTGTGATTTCCCCTTATATGAAGTTACAGTTTTTTAGAAAACTTAAAAAAAATCTTAAAATTTTATTCGTGTTTGTAGATAGTTGATTTTGGTGCGACCTTGTACAGACACCTCTTATGGTACTCAGCTTTCTTTTCTGCTTTGTTCATGTGGGGTTTTCACTCTTCCCACTAGTACTAAGTACTTTGCTTAGAAGGCCCTTGATCTGAGTGAGCTGAAAATATAAAAACCTACATGGGTTTGCTGTACCTCCATGGAGCCTTTTGAATGACTGAAACTGTTATAGAGAAGTGAATCTGCAGAAAGAGGTAATCAGTAGTTCTTGGTATTTTATATAAATCCAAGATGCTGCCTCTGCAAAATGTTTTTCTTCATCCAGAACCCTTACTTAATGTCTTCTGGGAGTATAGCTCAGGAAGTAGAACTCATGATTTCTTGGAGGTAGAATGAAATGGGTCAGGAATGCTTCAAAGAGCCAAATATTGCATATCGGAGTAGTTTTTTACATGTTGATGTGTTTGAGATTTTGTTCTTTTTTCAATGCGTGTTCATTACAGATTTATTTTATACTCACTACCACTAAAGCAAGACATTTGCATGTGAACTCTTCATAGTTTGCTACTGTAAGATAAACTTTTGACTTTCAAACACTACCGTTTATCTTCAGTTGTGTTTAGGATAACTATATGCCCTGGGTTGCTGGAAACAGTGGCAGTTCACCCCTGGTTTTCAGCATCCTATCTGGTTTGTCCTGTCTCGTCCCTTTCACTCTCACATAGTTTCACTGAGATGTTAAATCACATTGTCCCCTAGTCAGCTGCCCTGAGCTGAGGTCCTGACTGAGCGGAGGGGCCTGTTAGAGTAGGTGTCAGTGGGGTCTGTCTTTTCTGCTCTATCGCACTACACGATTGTGGTTGTTGGAATCATCCCACATTAGCAGCAGGTTTCTTGTTCTGTTTAAATTAGTATTAGTATTTGTGATTATGTTATCCATGACAGAAGATTCAGAACATCAGTAATGAATCCTTACAAGGATTTTTGTAAATCGTACATTTAGTCTACATATAATCTGTCCTACATTAACCCTACATATAATCTATAAATGTAGGAGTTTTGTAAATCCTTACAAAAAATTTATAGATTATAGCTAAAACTGTTTCCTGTCTTTTAATAACTCAACTGTACTTGCACTCCATTTAATATTTGGTATGTTTTTATATTTGATACTTTAATCAGACTTTATACAAATTTAAGACCAAGACTTTAAAACCACTAAATGTAAACCAATAAAACCACTTCTGTAAAGCCAATGTATGGAATGTCATAGGTTCTCAATTCTAAGCTTGAATAGTGTGTGAGCATCCAGCCAGGCCAGCTTCCAGCCTGCCATGAACTCCTGAAATGTAAAATTGAATCACTGCCATGCATTTGAAAGATGCAGTTGTTTTAATAATTTATATATATTTAGATGTATATAATGCTTTGTAGGACATTATTTTTTTTGTAAGAATTTATTTTTAAAGGTTAGGATCATTGGTAGCTTTTTAAATGCCAGTTCAATGCAACGTCACCTCCTTTGAAAAGTTGTTAATGAGAAATTGGTGATTGTTATTATACTGTTACCTCGGTTCTCTTTAGAAAGGAGGAGACTTGTTAACTAGCTGTTTGGTTTTATTTCCCACAGAGAGCTATGTAATCTGAAAGTATATGCCTTTAGATACTGTGAATCTTATTTTCTGTTTAGCCAAGTAGCTGCTTAAATTGTGGAAACCCCTGTCCTAAAGAACAAAGGACTCGTACTGCTGGTTCTCCCGTTCATGGGTATACATGTGTGCACACACAGTATCAAGACTGGTAATTCTTTCGCTAAAAATGGATATAGATTAGAAGCTAGCTGTGTTTAGAATCTACACTTCAAAGATAAAGGAACCTGCACATTCTTTCCTGTGCCAAAACTAAAATGTACACTGTTTACAAATGCCTGGGCTTTGCGCTGACACAGGGTATGCGGAGGTTACTTTGCTGGGATTTCCCAGATTTGTAATTAGTGGAGTTGCACTTTGTCATCTGAGGAAAAATACTGAGAACCCTAAACTGGAACTGAGTGTTTGAGGTGGTGGCTCCAGTGGCTCCCCAGAGCCTAATTTGGGGACCGTTTTTCTAGATTGCTTTGACATGTACTTTCTGTTAACAGTTTTCTTTGTTTGCCATTGCTGTATTATTCCTTCATAGGAGCCACCATACCTTTTTTCTGCTGTGGGAGAACATCCCAGTATTTTAAGATCTTATACAAGAACGAGCAATCCCAACTAATGCCGTTTTCAGTGAATGTGGCGTTGTTAAAGAAAACATAATAAATCTGTACTTGCATTTACTGTACCTCTATCAAGAACTTTTTGAATGACTGAAAAGGTTAGAGAAAGAAGTGTATCTGCAGAAAAGGTAGTCAGTATTTCTTGGTAGCTTATCTGAAATGCAAGATGTTGCTTCTGCAGATGGTGTTCCTTTATCCAGAATCCTTATTGAATGGCTTCTGCGAGTGTAGCACAGGAAGTAGAACTGAGCATTTCTTGGGGGTAGAATGAATCACGGATATAAAAAAGGGCAAGTACTGGTGTCAGCAATTTGTCAGAGCAGTTGTGGACTTAGGCAAATGCCTTATTGAAAATTGGCATTATGATAACAGCATGAGTTTAGCAGTACACCTGCTGTTATCCCAGGGTGTTTTTTAAAGCAGTGATTAGTTGATGTCAGACAGTTCCCCCTCCTTCCTTCTTTACTATTACTCTTTTCTTTTTTCCCTTGGAGTTCAAAGTTATTCTCTACTCTTGGGTATTGCATGTATACCAGAGGCCTTCCATATAGCATGCCTTTAGGTAAGAGTCCTCTTTCCATTTGGTCCTGGGAAATGTTTCTGTTGCAGAGTTAGTTGGTGGATTGTAGCAGTAAGGAAGGGAAGCTGTGACATCAGAGTATCTGATGTCACAACAACTTGTCATTGAAGCTTTTTTAGTGTCTGTCATGGGGGAACAAGGCAATTAGCTCCCCTATGTCTCAGCACTAAGAAATTGGGGTCAACCTTCCATCTTCCTACAGGAGGATTATGTCTTTCTCCTTATAGTTGGCATTGGTCCTTCTTTTTAAAAGTAGAGAATGTTTTCAAAGGGGAATGAAATGTTTCTGCCCCCTTGGCACTTGGCATATAGGGGTCTTAAGCAGCCTGTGAATGGGAGTCTCCTTAGTTTATAGCTAGATGCTTGTAAGAGCCTCTTAGAGATAAGGAGTAAGGTGATTGCACTACCTTGAGTCCCAGTCCTAACCTTCCGACACCTCAGTTTTTCTCGTTTGTAAAGTGATATACATAACTACCCTCTGTACCTCATATAGTTTGTTGTGAGGATTAAGTATGTGGGAACAATTAAACTCGTAATAACCTTGAATAAGATAGTACAAGTTGTTGTGTTTTTGGTAGACCAAGCTCTGGGGTTTTCATAAAGTGTGAAGAAAATGGCAATTTAAAATAACTCTGAATAGTTGCCCGCTTGCTAAAATGATAAGCGCCACCAAATAGCTGTGTGTTTTTTTGGTGTTTGCACTATGTAATGCTTTTAAAATATCTGTTGATTCTGTTGTGCCTTTTTGTGTAATAAATATTTTTAATTTTGCCATTTTGTGGTGTCATTATTGGGGAAATATATATGTTTATATACAGCAAAATCTCATTTTCTGTTTTGACATTCGAACTTTGGTCTGATTTGGGGACGAAGAGAATAGAGTAGCTTTCGCCATAGAAATTAGTGTACTTAGCTGTGGCTGGTGTGGCTTGGTGGATTGGGCCTTTTCCCACTCTTCCTGCCTTCTCCATGCTCTAAAAGTAAGTACATCTTAAAAAAAAAGTGTACTTAAACAGCAACTTTGGTATTTCCCCTTAGTCAGCTATAGAGTAATTATATTACAGTTTTAGGTTCTCAGTCCTGAAGGAGACTTCAAAATTTGGCAGAGTATTTTTAAACATTGAATTGTGGAGGTTTTTTTCCCCAATAGAGATCTTGAGAATTAGAAACTACAGAGTCCAGGGCTTGCATGTCCGGAGTGATTTAGGCAAGCCCTCTTTAGGCACAAGTGTGTATATAATCTTCTGAACCCATGAGTCCATGCTCTTTGTTACTGAAGAGATTTCAAATGGTGAGATGATGGGTTTGTTGAGTTTACAAAGAGTGCCTGGTGAATTGTGGCTAGTGCAAAGAGATACTGAGGGCTTCTCGCAAAAGTGTACATTAATTATATGCTTAGCATTTGCTATGTTCTCTAGCAGTGGTTCTTAAACTTTGGGGATATAGCCTTTTTGAAAAGCAAGTGAAATTTAAGAAATTTCATTTAAAAAGTGCAGAACATTTTACATTCACTTTCAGGAGCTATGTTGAAGCCCCTGGTCTTCAGGTTCTGTTCCTGGGGGATATTAAGGGACAATGAGAATGCCTACAAGAACCTTGGCAGCCCACATGCTTTTCAAAGTGTCATTCCCTTATCACTAAGGCCTTAAAGGTGAGTGGAACATCTGTTCAGTTGTGGTGAGCTTATGGCCAACACATGGTTGCAGATTGGTGTGCACTGCACAACTTTGGGAGGTACCCTTCCTAGGTGCCTTAGGAATGATACGACCTAAGGCTTCTGGGCCTGCTTGTATTGGCATTTAGTGTGGGCCTGGTACCTCTTGCGAAGCTGCAGTTGAGGATACTCCAGTGCCCACCATGGCAGAAAAGCCCAGGAAAGTCCAGACAGAACAGGGATCATACTGATTTGAAGGTGTTGGGGCAGGGTGGTTCTGTGGTGCAGTGTAAGATTAAGAGGCATACACCTCTTAACTAATGAAAGCCTATTGTGAACAACAGGGTTTGTCGATGGGGCAGATCAGATCTCTATTTGAAGGACAGCCAATCAGTGAAACACACAACCGCACAGTTGGAAGTGGAGGATGAAGATACAATTGGTGTGATCCAGCAACCGACGGGAGGTGTCTCCTGAAGAGAGAAACTGCTCCAGAACTCTTCCTGCAGACCAAGAAGACGTTTTCACTTTGAAAACTGCAGCTGGGCTCCTCCACATTCTGACTACGACTTTCTTCACTCTCCCCTTCCCCATTTCCTTATTGTATGCAAAGTGACTATGTAGATGCACAAACATTTGTGTTTTTTTTGTTTTAATTGTATTTTTATTTTTTAATATATTTTATTGATTATGCTATCACAGTTGTCCCATTTCCCCCTTCACTCCCCTCTGCCCTGCACATCCCCTCCCACCCACATCTCCTGCCTTTAGTTCATGTCCATGTGTCATACATATAAGTTCTTTGGCTTCTACATTTCCTATACTATTCTTACCTTCCCCTGTCTATTTTCTACCTGCCATCTATGTTGCTTAGTCTCTGTACCTTCCCCCCTCCTCCTTCCACTCTCCTGTTGATAACTCTCCATTTGATCTCCATTTCTGTGTTTCTGTTCGTGTCCTAGTTGTTTGCTTAGTTTGCTTTTGTTTTTATGTACAGCTGTTAATGATTGTGAGTTTGCTGTCATTTTACTGTTCAGATTTTTTATCTTATTTTTTTTAGATAAATCCCTTTAACAGGTCATACAATAAGGGCTTGACCTTATCTGTGAAGCACTTGATCTGCCCTTCCATTCTAAATGAGAGCTTTGTTGGATAGAGCAATCTTGGATGTAGGTCCTTGCCTTTCATGACTTGGAATACTTTTTTCCAGCCCCTTCTTGCCTGAAAGGTCTCTTTTGAGAAATCAGCTGACAGTCTTAAGGGAACTCCTTTGTAGGCAATTGTCTCTTTTTTTCTTGCTGCTTTTAAGATTCTCTCCCTCTTTTTAATCTTGGCTAATGTAATTATGATATGCCTTGGTGTGTTCCTCCTTGGGTCCAACTTCTTTGGGACTCTCTTGAGCTTCCTGAACTTCCTGGAAGTCTATTTCCTTCACCAGAATGGGGAAGTTCTCCTTTATTATTTGCTCAAATAACTTTTCCATTTGTTGCTCTTCCTCTTCCCCTTCTGGTACCCCTATAATTAGGATGATGGAAAGTTTTAAGATGTCCTGGAGGTTCCTAAGCCTCTCCTCATTTGTTTGAATTCTTGTTTCTTCATTCTTTTCTGGTTGTATGTTTCTTTCTTCCTTCTGGTCCACTCCATTGATTTGAATCCCATTTTCCTTCCCATCATTGTTGGTTCCCTGCACATTTTCCTTTATTTCACTTAGTGTAGCCTTCATTTTTTTCATCTAATTTGCGACCAAATTCAAGCAATTCTGTGAGCATCCTGATTACCAGTGCTTTGAATTCTGCATCTGATAGGTTGGCTACCTCCTTGTCACTTAGTTGTCTTTTTTTCTGGAGCTTTATCTGTTCTTTCATTTGCCCCCCCCCCATTTTTTTATCTTGATGCTCCTGTTACGTAGTGAGAGGCGGAGCCTTAGGTGTTCACCAAGGCAGGGTGACCCATGTTGCTGCATTGTGATGCTACTTGAGGGGGAGGGGTCTGAGGGGGAACAATGGCACTTGCTCTGCTCTCTGCTGGTTTTCAGTCACTTCCCCTGCTTCCCACCATCAAATTGGGCCCTTCTGGTGCTGATTTCCTTTGTGGGTGGTTTTGTGTACATTGTAGGACCCTGTGGGTCTCCAATGAACTCCCCTGTGAGACAGAGTTTCTCCTGCTGCCTCAACCCCCACAGGTGTTTTCAATCAGTGGTTTGAGGCTTTGTTTCCCCTTCTGGGACCTTGGGTTGCACAATCTGTCTCGCTCCCCCATTGTTCCTCCTGGTTTATCTGCACGTGGATGTGGGACTGTCCAGTCCGCAATCCGCCACCTTGCCGGGTCCGCCAGCTGCTGCCTTGCCACCAGTCCTCTCTGCTTGGCTGCCTGTCTCCGCCCCTCCTACTGGTCTGGATGAATGTGTCTTCTTTAACTCCTTGGTTGTCAGACTTCCATACAGTTCGATTTTCTGTCAGTTCTGGTTTTTGTTTTTTTTTTTTACTATTGTTGTCCTTCCTTTGGTTGTGTGAGGAGGCACAGTGTATCTACCTATGCCTCCATCAAAAAATGCAGTCAGAAGTCTGCATTTTTTAACCTAATTGGCTGCTCTGGTAGGTGTGGCTCAGTGGGCTGGGTGTCGTTCCACAAAGCAGAAAATTGCTGGTTTGATTCCTGGTCAGGACATGTCTGGGTGGCTGGTTCAGTCCCCGGTCAGGGCGTGTGCAAGAGGCAACCAATCGATGTTTGTCTCACACACTGATGTTTTTCTTCCTCTCTCTAAAAATAAGTAAAATCTAAAAAATAAACAAATTGGCCAATGGCATGTTTTAATCCACATCAAGTGGAGATGGAATGGGGGAAAATACTGGTTCTGTGAACGTACCCCCTTCCTCCACTAGTGGAATGCTCATTCAGCTCTTAACTTTATATTCCAGTGAGTTACTTTGCTCAAAAGAACAACATAAAAAGCCTTGCACACCTTGTTCAACTGGAGAATTTTAATTTTTCCCCCTCACCTGAGCCCTTGAGAATTACAGAGTATACAGTATTTATATGTCTAGAGTGATTTAAGCTCAGCACTCTCTCTAGGTGCTGGTGTTTACATAGTTGACCACTGTAACCGAGGACAATTTCATACCTGTATGAAGCTGCTACATGTAGGGCAACCTGTCCTTAAGATAAATTAAAAGAAATGAATCCTAGATAGTTTTCCCTTCAAGTCAAGTGTCTTGATGGTTAGATAAATTTCTTGTTTAAAATGAAAAAATAAAAAATGATATGCCGTAGAGATAGGTTGTCTGCCCCTGAATGAGGAGGCCCTGGGGGTGTGGTGGTGGACGTGATACTGAAAATGCCAAGGGTAGCGTTTTAAAAATAGGAAACGAGGAGCACTAGAGACAAGAAATGAGACCAGCTCTTGTTACATAACCCTTTCCATGTGTGTGACCTCTTTAAGGTATTTAATGATTCCAACTGCATAGCGTGTTTCCTGGGGTTGTGCATGGGGTTAGGGACAAAAGACTTTCCACATGGGCTGAGGAAGCAGCAAATGAAAGAACTGCAGGAGAGAGTGGCCTGTTTGAAGGAGAAGTTCCGTGTAATGAGTTAAGGATGTGATTGGAGAAGTCATGAGAGATGGGGCTGGGGAGTTGAAGGGGCTGGTGATGAAGGAGTAATGTGCCAAGCTAATTAATTTGAACCTTATCTTGAAGGCAGTGGAGGGTCATTAGAGGGTTTTAGCCAGGGGTGTGATGTCACCTCATTTGCATTTTGGAAAGGTCATTCTGGGTGCATTGTTAAGGACAGACTGAAGAGCTGGCTAGAACAATTAGGCTGTGGCGGCAATCTGAGCTGTGAACGATAGTATGCCTATGGAATGTCAGTGGGCCTGCAAACAGCAGTAGTAGGTTACATTTACTGAACACTCAGTAGATACTGACGTCATCTCTCATCCCCTGAGGTTTTTAAGGCTTAGAGAAATTAACAACTTGTCCATGGCAACTAAGAATCACAGAGTCAGTCAGTGGTTAAAACAGTTGTGTCTGAGTCAAAAGCCTGAAAGAGGTATGTGGATTTGAGAGTCATCGAGGTGGAAGTGACAGACTTGAATGTGGCAGTGAGGAAAAGGGAGGAGGCA